AAATTCCATTAGTATAGTACAGTACATTTCGGAGCATAATAATCTACAAAACCGGTATATTAGCTAGTGGAGCGTTATACATTCGAAATTTTAAGCGTTCTTATTTTGAAATCCCATACAACAGAATAAAACATCTGCTCATATGTCTATGGCTTGGCTATAAAAATATCAGAGCAACAGATTGGGGATGGTATTCCAAAGATGCTTTGTTATTACTCGTACGCATGAACAAACAACCTGCACTCGATGAACTTTTGAAAATTATTTTTTGCCAATGCAAAAAAGGATGCGGTGTTTCATGTGGATGCAGAAAAGTTGGTTTATACTGTAACTCTACTTGTTCTGCGTGCTCAGGTGAAGGGTGCAATAATAGTCCACCAATAATTGAAGATGAGGATGACATAGATCACGATGAAGATGTAATTGGTGACGAATAAAATTAATATTATAATTGTTTTACCTATAAAATGTAAATATTTTCAACTATTTATGTAAATGTATAAGAATATATGGTGCCTTTTTATATTGATAAATTTTTTTGTATTTAATTCTACTTTTTTCAATTTATATCTTATAAATTAGTTTATAAAAACTGCAATATTGTAAAGGGTGATTTTCAAAAGTTGAAAAGTTGTAAAATTTTGGCAAAAAATTGTTTTTACCTATAGCACTCATAACAATTGATTTTTAAGGGTTGAAAATGTATGAATTTGTATTTTAAAGTATAAAAAAATCACTATTTAACTAATCCAAACCAAATTTCACTCATCTTAAGATTTATAATATTATTTTACAATTTTTGAAAATTAGGGGTAGTTTTCACCCCTAAAACCCTCAAGCGCACTTCGGTTCGATATAGATTTTGATCCTTGGGTATCACCTACCTTCTGTTAAAATTTCAACTGGATACATGCAGGATGATAAATTGCGAGGTTTTAACTTTTTTCGAGCTTCATTTCCTGAACTATTATCACTTCCTTAGACAAACCCATCTTACGCAAACAACATTTTTGTAGGACAGATAGTTGAACGATATTTTATACAATGTCTATACCCAGGTATGGATTTATTTTTGTCCAAGTTTATATTGGTCCACTATTTCAAATGCAGTTCAAACAGACATGTATTAAATTGTATGTTCCGTTTTAATTTGGTTCAATCTGTATACACTGAAAGAGTCCCAACTGTCTAGTATTAATAATTACATTTGTGCTATGTTGATCAAATTTAGATTTTGACTGGAACATTGCAATAATACTGCAGATAAAAAAGAATGTTCCTCTATATGCGACGTATCTATTCTTTCCGTAGAGTAAATCTTTACTCAATAAATTTTTACTCTAATCCTTGTATATTTTATTAGTAGCATACGAATTAACAACACTGCAACATCAACTGGTCACTGTGGAATGTTGCCATGAGTATCATGTTAATTTCAGATTAAAAGAACCGCGATGAACTAGAGATTAGATCTATTTCCAATTATCCATTATCAATCTACTACTATCTAGTCTATGTATATAGGAGATTATCATTTAAAGCCACATATTATTTTGGAAAATTTGCCGCCTATAACATTAGAGTTCACATAAATATGGATTATTAGATTACATTATAGAGATAATACATGAAAACTGTACAATAGACAAAAAAGTACGCGTTACCGATATTGCAAAATAACTAGTGATTAACATTTAGATTATATTCAGTTAAATGAAACATAATAAGATGGAAGGACAATATTACCTGAGTAAAAGTTTAAACAAACTTTATCAATCGTTATATGCCTAATATCTTTACAATTATCTCTATTTGTTCCTTAGTAACATTGTTTGATTCCCTCTTAGTATAGACTCTACATTAAATGAATATTTTTGACTTTTAAATAAGCATTGTTTCGACGACGGTTCGGCAATGTTACACTTGTGTGGAATATGTGTATGTGTATGTTGTGGAATGCAATTTTAGATTCCCCATGTCTCTAATTACATCTTTATCAACGTCTGTTCTGCCTTGCAATTCTTAGAAGACACAGATTAAAGCAAAAATATGAATTTGGTTTTGACAATTAGTTTCGGGATTTATTATTAGATGTCGCTATTGCGTCCAGATCGAAGTCATTTTAGTGTTGCTTCCATTACGCAGGAAAGAATGTTTTCACGTTCAGAGTATCTGTAGATAGCCTCTCCGAAGATTACTTTTAGGATGAAATAAGTATAAGCGGATTTACAGACGCACTTTACGTAAAATCAACTCTTAATTGTCTTTCCTTTTAAATATGGATTGATTATTTGTCAAAATAATATTCTTGAAAATTAATAAAAAACAGTTTTTAATAATTCAAATTATTTAATTGGCGTTTTAATTGCATCTAGTTATTTCATTTATATCATCAATCAGCCAATCGCGTCCACAGCTGGACATAGGCCTCCCTCAGTTCTTTCCAGTGTTCTCTACACTGGGCCGCTTGTAGCCAGTTTCCCGCTACACGTTTTATATCATCGGTCCATCTAGTCGGTGGTCGTCCTCGGCTTCTTTTATAATTTCTGGGCCTGCATTCCATAATACGTCTTGTCCACCGTCCATCTTGTGTTCTGGCTAAGTGCCCTGCCCAGTTTCACTTCATTTATTTATTTATTTTATTTAACGTATAGTAATTCAGACACATTAAACATTATTAAATTATGAAGTCTCTTTCGGTAATGGTACATAAGTAATGTTCCGTTTCTAAACGCAAATATAATTATCACAGTGAAATGTTCTCTTTGAGGGTAAATACCCTTTGTATTACATAGTAATAATAATTATAATTGGAACGAGTGAGAAATTTTCTTTTGGAAAATTATGAGATAGTAATTACAATAGAGACTTATATTTATATTATATACAGGGTGGTCCTTAAGTAATGGTACAAAAAGCAGCTGTAGATTCTATACTTTAAAATATTACGATTGAAGCCAACTTGCTTTATTAAAGTGTTGATATTAAAAAAAATAGAGAATGTTAAAGTTCAAATTTAAAATTTTAATCTATGCTATAATTTTCATGTTTGTGAACATTTATGTATAAAAATTTATAACTGGTACTATGAATTAACATTAGGAATTATAATTTGATGCATACTTTAATGTAGCTGATAGGGAGCGCTACATATGCTACTTATATATGTAGCATACATTTGCACTTAACTTTTTTGCTCTTTATGTTACCGGTGTTTGTAATAAAAAATATTAAAAATACATTATTTTAACAAAAAAACAGGTATGCTTGTTAATAACTTCAAAGCTGAACAGTTTTCGAGATAATCGCATTTTACAAGTCAACTTCATAATTCAGATTTAACGCAATTACTCCAGGCAACGAAAAAAAATTAGACAAAAATATCAATACTTCGGAATTTCGGTATTAAATGCCTTTAATAAAGTTAATAGTTAACGAATATTAAATAAAATAAATATATCAGCAGGATAATTTGCAATAGGATTTGAGAAAATAACAAAATGATTGGACTTTACATAAAACATTTTACGTTTTGTATTAAATTTAAGTCATAATCAAAACATTTTATTTATAAACCAAATTAAGAAATAGTTAAACTAAATACATTAAACATTTTATCAAAGTAAGTGTTCGATGTGTCCTCCATTTTCTTTAATTCATTTGTCAATACATTCCATCAAAGATCGTCTCATATTAAATAGCATCATTGGTTCTAAAGAAACTGCTGCAGTATTTATAATAAGTATTATAAGTATAATATATAATAAACATAATAATAAAGTATCCGTTTGGGATTTTTATGAATTAAATAATTATATTAATATCTTATCACATGACCAAGGAATATGACTACCACGAACAATCCAACGTTCAGGCGAGTTGTATCTAATTATGTTCTCACTGCCCTCTCTCTATAATGTGGTGGTGTACCATCTTGCATAAACCACGTATTTCGCCTTAAGTTTAATGACAATACTTCCAATAAATCAATAAAACCATTTTATAAAAAATGGAAATAAATCTCTCGATTTAAATTACAAGGTAATTCACATGTAAAAATAGGTACAAATGGTACCAAACCATACGATATGCATTATAAACATACATTTTAAATAAACGTATGGTTTTTAAAAAATATTAATTATTTTTTACGGACTTGCGAAATTTCTTGTAATTTGAATGGTGAGATTTATTTATATTTTTTATAAAATTATTTTATTGATTTATTGAAAGAATTTTCATCAAACTTAAGGCGAAATATGTGGTTGATGGTACACCACCACATTATGGAGAGAAGGCAGTGAGAACATTAATAAATATAACTTCCCTGAACGTTGGATTGATCGTGGTAGTCATCTGCCTTGGTGAGATATTAATATAATTATTTAATTCATAAAAAATCCCAAAAGAGTACTTATTAATATACTTATACTTATAATAATATTATTTATTATGAGACGATCTTTTATCACATGCATGGACAAATGAATTAAAGAACATGGTGGGCATATCGAACACTAACTTTTTGACAAAAAGTTTAATGTTATTTAGTTTAACTATTTCTTTTGACTTATTTTTTTATGTTTTTATTTATTTTTTTTTATTAACACGTGTGCGGTGTTTGTATACTGCTATCTGGTCACAAATGACCAATTGTCAAAGTTTTCAGTGTTTTATTGTTACATAAAATGAATGTCCATCAAGTAACGGTCGAATCCATCAATTATTTAAAGCAATTTGACTTAAATCGTAATATTTTAAAGTGTAGAATCTACGGTTTCTTTTTGTACAAATAATTAAGGACCACCCTGAATATGTGCAATATTTATATAAAATATATGCACAATATTATGTGCAATTTTGTTGACCTCAGTAATGATTTTGATCTGTCACACATGCTCTAAACTAAAGCATCCCTAGAAATGAGACAAGCTAAGATACTACGGGGTAGTTATTTAGTGTTCTGGTGGTTGGTTTGTCGCTAGTTCATTCCCTTACAGCGCGGACGGCAATTTCGAAGTGACCTTAGCCACGAAAGCCACCATCTATCACCAAGGGCTGGTAGAATGGAAGCCGCCTGCTATTTACAAGAGTTCCTGCGAAATCGATGTGGAATATTTTCCCTTTGACGAGCAGACTTGCGTGCTAAAATTTGGTAGTTGGACGTATGATGGTTTTATGGTAAGAAGCATGTGTTTTATGATTTCAACCGTATGCTTCTGCTTGTAGTATTCTTAAGATAGATTTTTGTCTTTATAAGTTTGATGTAAACAATATTAAAATGTTAATAAAAATTGCAGATGTGTTAAATAATATTTTGCATTATTGCCCTTAGGTATTTAAAAGACTGCTATTAATGTTCAGGGCTATACTTTGTTTTTTTCGATTAAAATATTGTATGTGTATCAACTGTAATTAAACTACTTTCATTATGATAGATAGATGGATAGATAGACACGTTTATTGACAACTTTTTCATAGTAAAAGACACTTCAGGTCATATCACAATATAAATAAGTTACTTTAATTACCATTAGAGATATTGAAGCAGTTAAAAAAATACCAATAATATGTAAATCAAATTTTTTTACACAATTGTATAACCTTTACGAAATTTATTACGCTTTTGAATTTACTTGAAATTTAAAATATTTAAAATATTCTCTATTGAATGAATTGCGAATAAAAAATCGGTGCACGGAGGCTACGCTTTAATGATTCTTCTTCTTTACTGGCTTTACAACTCTCGGGGTGAGTCCTCGCCGCATCCACTATCGCGTTCCATCCTCTACCATCTTACGCTTCTATTTCCCGTTGTTGTACCCCAATTCTGTATAAATCGGCTTTAACATAATCCTTTTATCTTTTTCTCGGTCGGCCTACTGATCTTCTACCATCTGGTCTTTCAAAAAACACTGTTTTTAACTCTGTCACCCTCTGATCATACTACGTGACCTGCCCATCTTATTTGGTTTGCCTTGGTATGTCTAACTATGTTTTCTGTTCCATACAGAGTCACCAATTCAGCATTGCGGCGTCTTCACCACTCCCCTCTGAATTCATCTCTTTGACGGCTAAATATTATTCTAAAGACCTTTCTTTCAAATACTAGAAGCTTATTGATTTCCCGCTGGTTGAGAGTCCATGTTTCACTGCCATATGTAATAATTGGGCGAATAATCGACTTGTGCAGTGTTAATTTAGATTTTTAGCAGCAGCTTTGATCTTAATAGTGTTGAAAGGGAGTATAATGCTCTATTTTCCGCAGCTTTGCTAAGACCTCTTTTTCTATGTGGATATCAGCTGTAATTATCGCCCTCAGGTATTTAAACTCTTTTAATACTTCGTGATCATTAATACTAATGTTCTGTTTAACTCTTGGTCTTAGATTTTTGGTAACTACCATATATTTTGTATTTTCTTCATTTATTCGGATACCCAGACTACCTGTTTCCCCTCAAACTGTAAAAACACCTATCTCACGTCTCTTGTAGAATGCTTGACTACATTTATATCATCAGCAAAGGCCAGCAACAGTTTTGATCCTTGATCAGCAAATACTCCTGTCAGCTTAGACGATATTTTACTTATTGCATATTCTAAAGCATAATTGAACAGTAACGGTAACAAGTGGTTCCCCTGCCTAAGTCCTGAATTTATACTAAATAGCATCGATGTTCTCCTTCCTATCTTTACTTGCGCATATAAGTCTGTCATGCACATTTGCGTTAATTCGACTAATTTTCTGGGTACTCCTATTTTTAACATTGGTATCCACAATTTGCTTCCTTTCATGGAATCATATGCTTACTGGAAATCTCTGAGAATTCGGTGCACATCGCGGTGATGTGCACTCTTTAGCAACATAATTGATAGCACTTTATATGATGTGCTAATAAGCGATATGACTATATAGTTTCGAAATTTCTTTTTGTTTCCTTTCTTATATATCGGAATTATCACGCTTCCATTCCATTTTCTAGGCATTTTCTATTGTTGTCATACTCTCAAAATAATGTCATACAATTTTTGGTGTAAAAGATTTCCTCCTTTTTTAACAACTCTGCATTTATGCCATCATTTCCTGGTGCTTTATGGTCTTTTAGATACGCGATCGCATTCTTTACTTTCTCAAGTGTTGATGCTGATATTGCGATATCTGCAGAATAAAACGTAATGTCTGCTTCCTCTCTCTTACTTTCAATATTTAGTAAATTCCAAAAGTATTCCTTTCATCGTTTGACGAATTTCGTTTCTATAATTATAAGTTCACCTGCTTTATTTCTAAAAGGCTGTGTTACTCCAACACTTGTACCTTTTCTGACTTCACTTCACTAAAGAATTTCGTTATTTGATACACTTCTCCTCTCTACACTTCTGTTAATTTCCCGGATTTGTTGTTCTAGGTAGCTCCTCTTTTTAGTTCTGAATAGTTGCCTTGTTTGTGCTCCTGTTCTGTTAAAATCTGCTTTATTCTCATCTGTGGGGTCTTGTAGTATTTTCAAGCTTTTTTTTGGTTTTTATATCCAGAATTTCCTCGCATGCTTTGTCAAACCATTTCCGTTTTGGGCAAGTTTTTTTTTCCAATGGTTTTCTTGGCCACTTGTTCTATAACTGATGCCACTTGCTGCCATGCTTGTTTTAACAATACATTATGCTCTTCCTCTTGCAGGAATTGGAATCTCTTTTGGAATTGAAAATTCGAAAGTTTTTTTAATCTGAGAATTTCCTCGCATGCTTTGTCAAACCATTTCCGTTTTGGGCAAGTTTTTTTTTCCAATGGTTTTCTTGGCCACTTGTTCTATAACTGATGCCACTTGCTGCCATGCTTGTTTTAACAATACATTATGCTCTTCCTCTTGCAGGAATTGGAATCTCTTTTGGAATTGAAAATTCGAAAGTTTTTTTAATCTGAGAATTTCCTCGCATGCTTTGTCAAACCATTTCCGTTTTGGGCAAGTTTTTTTTTCCAATGGTTTTCTTGGCCACTTGTTCTATAACTGATGCCACTTGCTGCCATGCTTGTTTTAACAATACATTATGCTCTTCCTCTTGCAGGAATTGGAATCTCTTTTGGAATTGAAAATTCGAAAGTTTTTTTAATCTGAGGAGTTCTCCAAGCCGTTCCTTGATCTCTTTATCCCTGAGTAGTTTTCAGATCTTTGAACTTGTTTCTCTCCTCCATCATATCTAAAAGTTAATTGGTCCTCACGATTGTTTTTTATTGTTGGTGGCTAGAGGAATTTCTCTTGTCATCATCATCATTAACGTGTATGCGTTCACTGCTAGAGATAGATCTCCCTCAGCTCTTTCTATCTTTATCTGGCTTATGCGCCTTGCATCCAGTTTTTGCTAACAAGCTTTTGGTCGGTAGTACATTTTTCTTGTATGTCTTGTAAAACTCTGTGCAACTTTTCTAACTTTTCGTCTATTATATTCGTTTGAATAATGGTATTCACATTACTCTGTACTTACTGTTTTACACTCTGGTATGTATGTTTGTCTGTTGGTAGCCTGAAGTAGTACTTTGGATTGGTACTATGTTTATTCTTCTTAAGCCAGAACCTAATTTTGCCAATTAGTTGATTATGGTCTGACTTGACATCGGCTCCTGAGTATGTCTTGACTAATGTTATGCTATTACAAAATATTTTCTTCTTCTTTGGCCTTTTGCATTATAAGTTTGGCGTTTTTGTTCTCTATAGCACTATATTTTCCTATTTATCTTTTCTGAGGTCTCTATCTGTCATTCTATGTATGTTTTCAATATTGTAGCAGGTCTTGAATAGTTTATAATTATGTTAACGGATACATATTTCTAAACAAATTTATTGTTGCATAAAACTCAATGAATATTTTTTATTAGTTTATGATAAAAGAAGTGGCGTGTCGGGTCCATTGGACCCACCTTGCCCGGAGAGTTAAAGAAGAGAACAGAAATCTCAGTAGCATAATTGGATAGGCAAGATCAACATTTATGTATATAAGAACATTGCTTAGAAATATAAAACAAAAATTTTATTATCGTTCGTTACAACGGAGAAAAAAAATAAGAGCAGTCATTAAGGGATTAAGGTTCATTAATCTAATTCTATTATCCTAATGGTAAGGATATAACATACTTAAACTAAATTTATTGTTTATTTTATGACATTTGGGTAGTTACTCCAAATATGACGAGCACTTACTAAATTAGGGATATAAATTTGATATTGTGTAGCCGTCAGCCTCCATTTAACAAATAAAATATCCCAATGCAGATACAATGGATACCCAATTTAAATATTTGCTAACATTAGTGTTACAGTACACCTAGCCAAATTTTTGGTAAATTTCCAGGTTACCATTACTTTCCAGTAGTATAATGCATATTATGTTTTGAATATCCTGTTATGCAATGTTTTTATATAAACGTCTATATCGTTTCTCGTTAAAAAATACTATTCTTCTGTTTCCTAAACGTTTGGCATAAATCACTTGAAGACCTTTTTCTAATATTAACATAAAAGGACTGAACTTTCTGGAGGACATCCCATTCGTACACGGATGAATGAAAAGTCTGAAAATGGGTCGGGGCTACGAGTTATTTTGTTATTCTCGGATTTGGAAACAAACAATTATTAACAACAACACCGTTGTTTTGTCTTTATTCAAATTATCCTGTTTTGTGCTGAAAATACATTTGTTTTTGGAGTGTTCTGAAAATACATAGATTATGTTGTTTTATTTATGTTACCTGGGGGTGATTTAATGAGTTTATTAAATAGTCTCAATTTCTTATGAGGAAATTGTATTTGTAGGTAAATCTTAGGAAAGTCGATTGTTTATAGCGGCTTAAAAAAGAAAACCGAAATTTTTTACAAAATATTTGACTGTTCTTTACAATTTACTGCTAGCTTCAAATCAATCAATTATCCAGTCCTTGGCGTCCACTGCTCGACATAGGCCTCCCTCATTTTGTCCATTGTGATCTATCTTGAGCACTTTTCATCTAATTTCTTGACATTTTCTTGAGATCGTCAACCTCCACAGTTCCATTTCAGTGTGGAAATTCGGTAAATTACATCGGTAACTCGTGTTCTTCGTCTTAAGTCTTCATTAACTAACCAACTCGGTCATGAAGCGATATACTCAGCATTGACCTTTCTATTTTCCTCTGAGCGCTTTAGGAGTTGTAGCTG